TATTCTATAGTAATGGAAAATGTTATTTAATCCATATATATTTGCACAAAATCAGCATATTTATTCTCAACTCAAATTTACCTAAATTCGTCATTTGTGTTTTGTAATCTATTTTTAAAATTAATGTTTAATGTGATGTAGTTAGTGGTTGTATTTACTATGAAAACCAGTGAAGTGTTTATTTTTGTGTTTTCAACAATTAGTTTCCTGTTTTAAATTAATTGCCTACTTGTATATATGTTGACAAGTTTTTCATGACAGGTTAATTAACTTAACGTATTTTGTAGTAACTAACTGTTTAAGTATCTTATTTTTCAATAAATAGCTACTCACTTATTTGTTACAATTTTCTTTTTGAAACTTTTACTTACTTCTTAAATATTGCAATTTTAAACTTTATGGAAGTATGTATTTAATTGGCTGAAATTAAATCTAAAATCATTTAGGATTTTCCTTGTTAAGATGTTAAAATTAGAGTCTCCCACTTATATACTTTTTATTTTAATACATTTTTTGCACTTATGAACATTTTTCGGTGGCGTCATTCGTCTATTATTTTTGCCATATATTCAAATAAATAATTCTAAACAAATTTCCCAAAAGCAAAAATCTAATTACCTTCGATCAACATTTGAAAATTTAATTTAGCAGAAACATTTCTGATCTAAATATATATTATATAACTATTTAAAAAGTTCAAAATTTGTAGTACAAATTGGTTTTATTTTAATACTAATTCAGTCTTAGATACGATCTTTATAACAATTTTTTAAGTCTTTTCCAAACGTTCTGTCTAAAATTGTCCGCACTGAACAAAAAGTATGCAATTTATTTATTAATAGTAGAAAACTTGATCTTTGCATTTATAAATTGTAAATTGTATAGATCATGGTACTTACATCTAGGTAGGTACAACTTGATTATGTCACGGTAATGAATTCTAATTCTATATTTATCTTTCCTCGAATAAAACACTACTGGTTTACTGCAATCAAATATAAATGCAGTTAGCACAAAAAATTGATACTCTAAATAAATAAAACTGTTCGCCAAGCGTTCCTGTGGCAGTTAAAACAAATACGTCCGAGTTTTTTATCCAATCGATAAAAAATTACAGCGCAATCCTTAATTCATGATCCGATTTCTAACGTGATTTCTCGATAAAAAAAAGCTGATTGCTTCACATAAAAATCAGAAAACACTATCGTTGGCGACACTAAAAAAGTGCTTTTGCAACTCTTTTCAGTTAATTCAACTACATGCATCGGCGAACCGATATTCCATCAATCAATGTTACTGTCAACCTCTAAAACAATGCCATGTTGCTGTATAATTGAACTCTATACATCATGCGCAGTGATAACGTCCATCTGCTGAAATCTGCATAAACGTCAAGTATTCTTTCTTTTCTCTCCATACATTACTAAACGATTTAATATGAATGCATACTCTCTATGAAGTCAAAATAAACGTACCTATGAAATATAATAATGTAAATTATTCTTGCACACTAACCACAGACGAAGACATCGTTTTTATTGATTTCAGCATTTAGTCACATTTAAGTATTCAAAGTGTAATTGATTATTCTACGGATTTACTGACAAATATTATTTTATTTCGTTAATAAATATTTTTTTCTAGAATATACATTTCATATTTCACTAAAGGGAGACAGACGCATCACGAGACCCTAGATTTTTTTTACCGATGATTTGATTTGAATAATTCTATCAATATAACGGGTAATTTTTTTTAACCCGAAACTTTCAAAATATCTCGAAAAATAAGCACTAGGAAAAATGACCCTATTCAAAATTTAATTAATTCCATGGAGGAAATACGTTAGTGCTAAAATTAGTCCCCTCCCTCCCTCTTTATAGGTGGGGCGGGGCTAATTTTAAAATCTTAAATAGGATTTTTCTAAAACAATTTCGATTCATGATAGATGTAATCGACGAAACTATTTTTTTCTGATTTTCTCTCCTGTGAAAATATGTATACGATTCTGCAATGTTTTTGAAATACTAAATACCACGTTTTATGTAAATACTCGAAATTCATTGTCAAAAAAGTTTGCGAATATCGAATAACTGGGAAATCGTTACTTGTAGAAATGTAAATGGCTGGTGGATAAACTACTTTTAGCATAACCCAGGAACAACGCCGCGGACATAGTAGTTTTCTGTTCCCTTAGGGGTGCTTCATTAAAATGGGTAGTTGTTGAACTAATGAAACAATTTTATAAAAATACTTTTAATAAAAAAATGGCATTTTTGAAACAAAATACAAAAAAATTAATTCATTTAAAAACAGACTTTTAAGCAGACCAACAAATTATAAGCCAAGGATATCGCGTTGACCAACTATTTGAAAAAGGATGCCTGTTGCGGAGTTACGTTAATAGTTTCTTGACAAGTCATTTTTTAGTAATTGAAAATTTGAGAAATAAGGCTAATTTGAAGGCTAATTTTGATTATTTACAGTGAAAACGTGGTATATTTTTAAAACGTTGAAAATTTTAATTTCTTTCTATTTCTGATTGCACCTACTTTCTATTGCTAAAATTTGTAACAAGGTTACCGAATCACTTTATATTTGTATATTATGTTTTATTGTTTGTCCAGGATGTTATTGTGCCAAAGATACCAACTTGGAGACCCTATAGAAAATGTTAAATGGAACAAATGTGTTTTTATGGACATAGGACCGAAAATGTTACCGAAAATGCTTCCTTACTGAAATAAATAGGAGAAACCTAAAATCGACCTATTTTCCTATACCAATCGCAAATTATTGTTCCAAAAAAACATCTTCTAGTAAATCCCATCAACAGCTAAATTTTACATCAAATGTCAACCTAATAGGTTGAATACTCCATCTTTCGGTGTGTTTTGAAAGCTTTCAATTCTCCTGGAAAATCACTATTTTGTGGCGAAAAAGTGGGTGCGCAAGAAAATTGAAATAAAATCATTGTGTTTCTTTTGGATCTTTATGATGATATAAGATTTACTATGAGATGATTGTTTTCGAAAAAAAGCTGATTATTTTAGTGCAATATAAGAAAATAATTCGAAAAGCGTGGGAATTTGTTTATTCAGCTTAATATTTCCTATATGACATCCCAAACTTTGTACGGTTCGAACGAGAACACCCTAAATGTTGCCAAATTCAGTTTTGAAATTAGTATTTTTTTTTCTCTTAAATGAATATACATTATTCAAGATTACGGTATACAATAGGTAGTTGTATAATCAAATAAATGTAGCTATGTTTGCTTGCTATGATGAGATTTTATTTTTATCTGCGTACCTATTCCCAATAAGAATGGTAAGTGTATTTAATTAAGATGGAACTGTTTGGGTAAAAACCCATTCCCACAATAAAATGTATAATTTGCAAGCACTGGCTTTCAAGGTTCTACTTTTGGGAGTGTTTTGGTGTTGGATTAATTAAAAATTGTTAAGTGCTTAAGACGATATATATGCAAATGATTAGATAGTGTGATAATAATTAAGTTTCTCTCTCTATTTTTAGCTGTTATAGGTTGTAATAACGGATTTTAGATATATATCGTGATAAACATAAAAGTGGCCGATCATTTTGAGAATATTCTTAAGTTGAGGAAGGAAATAAAACTGTAGTCATGAAACATTAATTGTGTGACTTTTATTTTTTTAAATTGACTGGAAAATGAACATTACTTCCAAATTTTAATTTAATTTATTTTTTCATTTACCGATTTCAGTCAGATAGTTTATTAAGAAATATTATAAAGGCATAAGGTTATGAAAAATAATTTAAAGATGGATATGTAGTTATGTAGGTACCTATGTAACAAAGGTCAGGAATATTGAGTAAAAAAACCGGATATCTAAGATTTCTGAAAAACGCCAAGACAGATCCATTTGCATCATTTGAGATGATAGATATTCTTACAATTTTCTCAAATGTTATTTTCAATGGTTTCTAGATGTCATGATAATTTTTTCAAATAATTATCCTGGAACTCGAATAATTTCATTGGATTTCGAAAAATTTAAATTATGAAGTTTTTTTTTTCTAGGAACAAAAGGGAATTTTTAATTTCAGAAAAAAATCCATTTTGATTGAAGTTGTCAATTCACGATTTTAATTTCTTATCACTATGTTCAATTAAATTTGTTATTGTTATTGGTATTTATTCCATGATCCAAGGAAATAGGATAAAAAGTGTTTATTGCGTAAAGAATCATTTTAAGAAATAATGCATAAACATTTCAAAATATGTCATAGGCGTAGCTATTATGCTTCACACAATAGATTTACTACCTCATATCACTGATAACTCAAATGTCGAATTAGTGGCATGATATTTACTAAATGTAGGTAAAATATAAACCATATAAACCATATGAATCTATCGTTATTATAATATGATTTTAATATATATTCTGTGCACATTCTGATGAACTCGCGGTTCATCCTGTACTATTTTATTGAATCTTTATAAATATGAAATGTTAATATCCAAAAAAGAATATTAAACATTTTCTATTTAGATAAAGGTGCGTAAAAATAAAAGTAATAAGTCAATTTCTAGCAACACATCTTTGAAAAAGACGGCTGAAGCTTTTACACTCAGTTCAAAGATAAACATTTCATCGCCACCCGAAAAATAAATAGATACATCATCTAACACAACCATAAATTACAGACCCTCAAGTTGTAACATCCGATTTATTTTCAAGAGGTATTATTTTAATTTCACAAGTCAATCCTCCTACATCTTAGCAAATTGTTTACATTTTTTAAACTTTTTAGAAGTAATGAAAACATACGTAGGTATTGTATGTGGTTTTCACGTATTTCTTTAAATAAATTAAAAACATTTTTTTTGTGAGCGTTAGTTTTATACCTTACAATATGAGTCAATATTTACACAAGCTAACAATCAATACAGTAAACTTTTTACTATATTTCATAGAAAAATTAATGGGCTGACGATAACACATACATACCGTTAGACTTTGTTGGAAGGTAATCAACTAAAAGGAATGGAGAATTTTAACTGACAATCCATCATCTCCTACCTGAAACAAAAATACAGATTATGTAGCGACGGATTTTCCTTGATTTATTATAATTTATTATTGCAGTATACAAAGCACAGACAATATACATACTGCAGATATAATAACAGTGCATTTCAATGCTGTAGGTTTATAGGATATACTATGACGAACCGTTAGCACGTCCTTATCTGTTGTAACGGCGCAAATGAAATAGTCATAGGCAGCAAGCACTCTAAAGTAATATGTTATATAAGGTGCGTTCCAAAGAAAATAGTACTTTTCAAGAATAGTTTCAAATTATGATTGCTTATCCCGTAGCAGAGTTCATGAACGCGACATGCGTTTAGAGCGTGCAAATTGCTGTATTTAGTGGAAATGGGACTATTTTCAATAATATAAATCGGTTCCGACAAAAACAGTTTTTTTGTTCTTATTTTTAAAAAGTTCTGTTTATTTTGAAACTCACTTGTATATGACTTATGAATATATGGTTTTACAGAAAACAATACTGAAAATATAAATGAGCATGGGATTAAGATTAAATAGCTATTAAAAATAAATAATAAAAAAGTAAATCCGATTCATATTTTTTGCAATATTCTTGTTTACATTTACTAAAAAAAATTTGAGGGTTATCGCTTGCAGTCGCTATAACATATTACAGAATTGTGCCATGAAATATTTTTGTGATGCAGTGTTAAAGGTTGTATGTAAAACTACAATGAATTTTACGTGTTTTTAAATTCCCCATAATCGTCCACTTCTGTTGAAAGTTGATGTTCTGTTGTTCGTCTAAAGGCGGGTATCCACTTGTGGCAATACTCCGTAACGTAACAAGGAACATGTTACGGCCTGTTGCAAAAGGTGACACGGTTCGCTGCGAAAGTATGTGTGGTTTTGGTGGCATCATTCATTCCGTAATGTAACAAAATAAGGTTACGAGATGACATAGGAACATAAACCCGCAGTATGAACCTGACTGTAATAATGGATTCGTCACTGCAATTGCAGTTAGCAGCAGCGTTATATATTTTTATTCATCATACAATTTTGAAGAATAAGAAACGGAAATCTTTTCTTTACTCCACTCCATGGCACAAACATAGAAAAACATACTCTTCCTAGTCACTGCAGAAAACAGACTGACCCCAGACCATATAAAAAAGACTGACGTAACAAAAAATAAGACAAAATCACACGTGCAATAGGCAACGTTACGGCCAAAAGGGTAACCCCGTCTCAATATGTGGCAGAAAGTACTGTTGCATTCCTTTGATGCGACGACTAAAAACCGACAACTGATGGTTCGTTCCGGATTAGTTACGCATGTCAAATTTGTTACACGTACCACGCAACAATCTTCCGTCTCCACTAGCTGTAACGTAACATGTTCGGTGTTATGTTACGAGGCATTTGACACAAATGGATACCCGCCTTAATAGGTACATAGATAGTTTTTATAATATTTTGACGGAGCAGATTTCTATAAATTAAAATTCGAACCAAAAACAATAATAAAAAAAATAATAATAATTCAAATTTCTTAATTGTATTTATTGCAGAAGTACGAAGCAATTATATCTTATTGCTTAAATGATAGTGACGACAAGTTGAGTTATGTATGCAATAAATGTTATATCCTTGGTGATATCTACCTATGTGTATAATGAATTTCATAACAATTGTAGATACAGTTTGTTTATTTGTCACTGTAATTGTTTTAGTATCGCGTACTACCAAGGAAATTATGCCAGTGATATACTTATCTACCCAATGGAGAAAATAGAAGTAAAGATAATTTTTTTTTATTCCACGTTTGTTGAAAAAAAATCGCTCGCGTTCAATTACTACTGTAGAGTTTATTTTTTTACTCTAAGCCCTTGTTGACATGGCCATTTCATATTATTGATAACACGCTTATTTAAATGTAATTTATTCAACAATACAATGGAGATTCAGCAACGAAATAAACCGCTCGTGTGATAGTGAGCTAACTTTAGGAACCGATGAAGTCTCAACTAGCCCGGAAACTGTTCAATCATATTAAAATCAAATAAATCGAGTGGCATCCCTTGTCCGACTGTTACTATTTAGCATAATACCTAATGTAAAGTTCACTCGGACTCAACGTTTTTTTGAATAATCAGCTGATACTGGATATTTGTCTTTCACCCAAAGTTGCACTGGGTAGAGAAAAGGGTGTAGATCCTTAAGTCAGCTCCAGATGATGCAGTCACTTGCCAAACAATTGCAAATATAGACAAATGTAGTATGGTGTGGACGAAAATACAAATGTGTGTTGAAATTTATCAGATTATATTGTCAAAAATAAACAAATGCCTCGTCGTGTGAGTAGTGCAATCGGCACATTAAAAAATATGACATCACTTGTCACATATTCGCCAAAGCTATTGCAAACGACACTTCGTTTAGAATTTTTAATAAATAATGGCAAGTCTACACTAGCGGTTGACAAGTAGATCGTCTAGCATTGAATTACACATCTAGTAAACATATAAGACCATTGTTGGCAGAATCACCAAACGGTTTCTAACTTATTAATCCTCATAAATATCTACTCATATCATGATTGTGTATGACGCAATTTAGACTATGAATTTTTCTAAATAATCCAAATGTTTGACACGTTTATATAGAGGGTGTCCGCAAATTTCACCAACAACGTTTGACTGCATATTCACGACGATAATTAAATACAATCTACGAAAAAAAAAGTTAAATAAAAATTGTTTGGTTTTTGAGTTACAGGCCTTCAAAGTTGTCAAAAATAAAACTAATTTAATTAATAACTTCATAATCCTTTTACCGATCGCGTTAAAATTTTGCAAATTATTTAGACTATTATGACGTATTATTTCTTAAAGCTTTAGTCGATTTGACTAAAACTTTAAGAAATAATACGCCATAATAGTTCAAATAAATGCGCCAAATTTTAACTCGATCGGTAAAAGGATTATGACTTTATTAATTAAATTAGTTTTATTTTTGACAACTTTGAAGGTCTGTAACTCAAAAACTAAAAAGTTTTTATTTCACTTTTTTGTCGTAGATCGTATTTGTTTATCGTCGTAAACATGAAGTTAAACGAGTGACCGCATCATCTTGAGGCAGACCTTAAGTTATTCACACAATTAATTGCTGCAATGAACAATAGCTTCCTTGTAATGGAAAAGAACAAAGTTTACTTATACTTAAAAGGTGTCATCCTGGTTCCTTTTCTGACCTTAGAGTAGGTAATCAGTTTATTGTCGGCTCTTTCCAAAATTTTTAAAAGAATATTATATAATCAAATCCTTTACCTCAATCGCAATGTGGTTTCAGAAAAAGCTGTCGTACTTCAATTGCCTCAATTGTCGTTACTAATTAACTTATGTTCTGCTTTTTTCAGCGATTTTCTGTTGTATTAATTACATTGAAATAATGTTCTCATTCACACGTGGTTGAGTTTGAGGTTTAAGTGGCGAAGTCTAGCTAAAGAGCTAGACTTCGCCATGGCAAAGCGAATTATTCTTCCCTGTTTTTGATTAAGTATTTTGTTTTCTTTTTATTATTCATAGGTATGTTTAAATTACTTCTGAATCAAGTCGATATATTTTAATAACAATCATTATTACTATTCGAGTTAAAATTAGTTGTCGTTCTTGCGCATCTAAAAGTCCGTTTTGTTTCAGTAGATATTGACCTAGTGTAAGTAAAATTGTAATAATCGAGTGTTATTGTTCTTATTGGTTAGCGTTTCATTATAATTGTGCATAATTATCGCGAATAGATGTGCTGCAAAAATAGTATACGTGAACTTTTATTGACATTGACATACACTACAGGATTTATAACACCAACTCAAAGGCCATATGGTGCGTACTGGACAGTTACACATCCATTGACGACGGATTACGTTTGCCAATACAGAGTAGCAAGTTTTGATTTTGGTAGAAATGTTTCAACCGTCATTGCTAAAGTCGGTACGTCTAATCGGATTGTATGGCGCATATTTAGTGCCTAGTATCTTTTTCATACGCAAATAGTCCATGTTCTGTTATAGCAAAAGCATCTTTTACATGTTCTTGCAATTGACTAATAGCAAATTGTCAACAACGCCAAGACTTTCCTGCTGCAATTTTATTTTCAGACGAAGCTATTTTTACCCCCAATGGAATTTCTAATTCAATCTGTTGAAAATTTGTGAATCGTATTAATTTTCTACAACGCTTCTCCAATATTGTTTGGGAGAACAATTTCTTGATAAGATTTTTTATATTGACAAAGCTGCTAACTGAACATAATGGAAAATGATTGAACAGTTAGTTTTTTTTAAAGAAGTACATTTTGATGTACATGGAATTATTATGACATTTACATGAGAGACTTCGGCTTATTCCTCTTATGCGTATAGGGACATTAAATATGAATTCCCTGGTAGATGGATAGGATGTGGCGGTCGAGCTCATGACCTTAATATTCTCTTAAATCTTTTAGAGCTTTATTTCTATGTATATTTAAAAAAAATTAATGCATTGCAAAGGAGACAATGATATCGAAGAACTATCCCTCCGGACAAAGACTACATCATAGGCCATTAGATATCGATATGATATTTTTGTAGTTGTGCGTCGACAGTATTTATTTATTTATTTTTGCTCTTCATCAGATTGGGTAGTATAGAACATATATATTTTTTTGAAATAGTGTTCGAGTTTGTAAACATCTTGTATAAATAAAATATAAGGATTTGATCTCATGATTTCTTTCAATATTCGTCCAGTAATGCCTCTATTTTACCATGTGGGTACAAATAATTTTTGGTATTTATTTTTGGTAATTTTAAACTTAATTTAGTTTAAAGGAAGGTCGAATCACATTTTTTTCATAATTAAAAATATATTCTACGAATTTCATGACACTGTAACAAAGTGGAGGTTCTGGGAGAGTAATAAATATAAATATATTGAATCTGGTGAGCTTTATGTTTCCAACGCTTTGTGTTCCGAAATATGGCA